AGTGGTCCTCGCGCCAGTTGCCCACGGTGAGGTTGCAGGCAGGGGCCACACTTAACGCGCCCTGGGAAGTGTGGCCAGGGGGAGGGGGAGACTGCAGAGCTGGTAGGGTCTGTGTGTGTGTGTCTGGCATCAGGGTATTTGCATTATTTAAGTGGTGCAGAACCAAGTTGAAGTTTGTTTATTGATTTGTTAGTAAATACTTCTTGAGCAGGAATGTCAGGACCTGTATTGGTCATTGAGGAGGCAGAAAATTAATTGATTACAGCGATGTTAAGTATGAAAGGCCCACACAGGGATGTGTTTTCTATGTTAAGGATCTGGAAACTTTACTTTAGAGTTGAGTATAAGTGAGCAATGAGGAGTCTAAGGGCAGGGAGCTCATAGTGTCAGGGGCAGTATTCAGAAGGACAATTGGGAGCTGGGGATTTAGCTCAGCGGCATAAGCGCCTGCCTTGCAAGCAGGCAGTCGTGAGTTCGATCCCTGGTACCGATAAAAACGAAAAAGACCAAAAAAAAAAAGAAGGACAATTGGGTGATTGGGGCTTCATTCCTCACTGGGCCTCTGCTCCACAGCTCAAGCCAATTCTGGCTGACATTGAGTATCTGCAGGACCAGCACCTCCTGCTCACAGTCAAGTCCATGGATGGCTATGAATCCTATGGTGAGGGCCCAGGGGTGCTGAGTGGTACAAGAAACCAGGCAGGGAGGGCTCTAGGAAAATATGGCAGTTTTCTGGTCTGTTCCATCTCCTCCCCAGGAGAGTGTGTGGTTGCACTTAAATCCATGATTGGCAGCACAGCTCAACAGTTCCTGACCTTCCTATCCCACCGTGGCGAGGAGACGGGCAACATCCGTGGTTCCATGAAGGTGCGGGTGCCCACAGAACGTGTGGGTACTCGTGAGCGGCTCTATGGTAGGCTCAATGGTAGGGGGTTGTAGAGCATGAGAGGGGGTGGTGTGGTGAGATGTGGGAGGGCAGGGCTCAGGGCTGACAGCATGTTGGAATCCCAGGATACTTAGAGGTTTTATAGCAATGGCTGGGAGCGAGTCTGCCCTGAAGAATAGCTGGGAAGGGGCTGGCAGGCTCTGTGAGTCTCTCTGGGATCTGGGATCCCAGGTCCCCTGAGTCTCCCTTTCCTTTTCCCCTTCCTCCCAGAGTGGATCAGCATTGATAAGGATGAGGCAGGAACAAAGAGCAAAGTCCCCTCTGTGTCCCGAGGCAGCCACGAGCCCAGGTGAGCTGGAGCTATACTGGGCGTCACATGGAAGGGTGGGTGGGGGCCTCTGGCCAGTTCCACTTCACCTCTCCTGTTTACCCCTGGCAGGTCAGGCAGCCGCAAGCCGGCAACTGCAGAGGCCTCCTGTCCACTTTCCAAGTTATTTGAAGAGCCAGAGAAACCACCACCAACTGGGAGGCCCCCAGCCCCACCCCGAGCGGCTCCCCGGGAGGAGCCCTTGACCCCAAGGTGAGAGAGGAGCCTGCCTCTACTGTCCAGGCCAGCTGGAGGTTGTCTGTTTGGATGCTCTGCCACCCTGTGGCTGAAGGTGCTGTGGCTCTGTGAGGCCACTGTGGGCAGCCAGACCTCCTCTAAGTGTGGCTCTCTGAGTCAAAGGGAGCATGTTCAGCCTTTCCTCTTGATTCTGCCTTAAAAAGTGGATGTAGAAGTTGTTTTTAGAACAACGGCTCCCTCCATGCAGCAAACCTAGTATGAGCCTTCTGTTCTGGCTCAGCATAGGATTTCCTGGGTTGTGTCTCATGGGGGCTCCGTCCCATAGCAGCCTCCACTGGAAATGGGTTGATGGTCAAATGGATTTGGGAAATGCTTCTTGCTGGGTTCTTTTCTTAGATATTCCCGTGCATATTAGTATTAGCGAAAGCTCCAAGCATGTGGACAGGAAGGAAGCCTGTTTAACTCTGTTTAATATAGTTTCCCAAACTTAACGAGCCAGGAAACTTCTTTCCCACACAGTAACTATTAATGTCCTGAGCAACTAGTGTTGTGTGTATCATACCTTGGAAAGGCAGGCTTGCTTTCTGATATTATCTAGGTTTTGCTTAAATTTAAATAAAAGCCCCTAGTACAGATTAGAATTTTTTCACTCATCTTTAGCTATTATCAGACACCTTGTATCTTAGTTACTTTTCTTTCATTGCTGAGACAAAATACGTGATGCTCAAAGTTAAAGGAGGAAAGATGTGTTTGATTTGCAGTTTGTAGAGGTTTCAGTTCATGACCTTCAGTTGACTCCAATGGGACAACTATTCATGGTAGGGGAAGACAGCAAAGCAACAAGAAAGGAGCAGAGAGAAGCCTCTTTTTGTCTCTTCTGTTGCATCCAGTCCTCCCAGATTAGAGCACTGCCAGTCCAATCAGTGGACTGATCTAACATTCACACACCTTTAATCCCAACTTTTTAAAATCCCAACTCTTAATCTCATCATTGAACCATGCATCAGTCACAGACTCTAGATTCCGCTCCAAAAAAACCTCATCTAAAAGTGAGGGGACATCTAGACATAAAACATAACACCTTGGTTTCACCTTTGGGCTTGAATAAAAACATACCAAATTACTAAGATTCTGCAGTAGACTGACAGATGTTTTGGAAAGCTTTCCAAATCTCACTTGTCAGTCTTGCCAGAGACCTTTATTGCTCTGCCTCTGGCACCTCTGTTTTTACCCATTTAAGCCTGGGTTTATGCAAAGTTGTAAAAGATCTGACAATTCAATCTAGTGAGGAAAAGGGGTTAAGGTCATGCCTTCAACACCCTCTGCTTTATTTTGTTTTATATTTTATCTGTCTTTTTGAGACAAGGTTTCACTATATAGTTCAGGCTGGCCTTGAGCTCACTATAGACCTAGGCTGACCTCAAATTCGAGATGATCTTCCTGCCTCTGCCACCTGAGTGCTGGGATTACAGGCTTGTACCCCTGCACTAATCTCCCTCTCCCTTTAGAGAGTGAAATCAAGAATAAGAGAGGACAAGTATTACATTCAAGATCATCTGCAAGTTTAAGCTCAGGGACCCTGTCTTGTCACCCAGTTTCCCAGCACCTGTGGTGTTCACCTTCAGTGTAGGGTCCTAACTTAGTTATCCTCCTCCCAAATCTAGGTTGAAGCCAGAGGGGGCTCCTGAGCCAGAAGGGGTGGCACCCCCACCACCCAAGAACAGTTTCAATAATCCTGCCTACTACGTCCTTGAAGGAGTGCCACACCAGCTGCTGCCTCTGGAGCCACCACCACCTGCTAGGGCGCCTGTCCCACCTACCACAAAGAGCAAAGTGGCTATCACAGTGCCTGCGCCACAGCTTGGACGTCACCGGCCCCCTCGTGTGGGAGAGGGAAGCTCATCAGATGAGGACTCTGGGGGCACGCTGCCTCCTCCAGATTTTCCTCCCCCACCACTGCCGGACTCCGCTATCTTCCTGCCCCCCAGTCTGGATCCCTTGTCGGTACCAGTAGTCAGGGGCCGTTGTGGGGGTGAGGCCCGTGGCCTACCACCTCCTAAGGCCCATCCGAGGCCTCCACTACCTCCAGGTCCTTCACCTGCCAGCACTTTCCTGGGGGAGGTAGCAAGTGGGGATGACCGGTCTTGCTCAGTACTGCAGATGGCCAAGACACTAAGTGAGGTGGATTATGCTCCTGCTGGGCCTGGACCTGGTTGCTCAGTGCTCCTGCCAGGCCCCCTGGAGTTGCAGCCACCCCGTGGGCTGGCCTCAGACTATGGCCGACCCCTCAGCTTTCCTCCACCTCGGATCCGAGAGAGCATCCAGGAGGACTTGGCAGAGGAGGTGTGTGCTTCTGAGCATGCTTCCTTATGACTGGTATCCCTTCAGCCTACCTAGAGCATCCTGAGCTGATCCAGCGAGTGTGGGGCTGGGAGGGACACAGCAGGCCTTCATCCTTTTCCCTCAGCATGAGTAGAATGGCTGTCTGCTCTTCCTAATACCTAACGTGCCCTATTTCCCCAGGCTCCGTGCCCGCAGGGCGGGCGGGCTGGTGGCGGCCTGGGTGAGGCGGGCATGGGTGCCTGGCTGCGGGCCATCGGCTTGGAGCGCTATGAGGAGGGCCTGGTGCACAATGGCTGGGATGACCTGGAGTTTCTCAGGTGGGGGGGCTGGAGGCCATGGAGGGTGGGTGGCCCCAGGGGCGGAGCTCTGGGCCCTGGCACCGGCTAGAGCCCTCTCCCTGACTCTCCCACAGTGACATCACTGAGGAGGACTTGGAGGAGGCTGGGGTGCAGGATCCGGCTCACAAGCGCCTCCTTCTGGACACCCTTCACCTCAGCAAGTGACAGTGGAAGCTCCACCAAGCTTTGAACTCCACGCCCTCCCCATCTAGGGAGGCCCAAGACAGCCCTGGTGTCGAAAAAAGTTCTAAGGGGCAGAGTAGTACCTCTATTTATTGGGGATCTGCGTTCCCCACCTTCCCCATGGCCCAGTCATTTGGCATGCCCTGATAGGACATCCTGCCCACCCTCCCCATCTTTTAGACCCGGGACGGAGGTCTCCAGTAGCCTGCTGCAGTGAACTAAAAGTATCACTGCTTACTGGTGCGGTCTTTTTGTCGACCCCTCTTCCCAGCCCTGGGGGTACATGTGGGTTAGATGGGTATGTTCTGCGTTCCCCCTTTTCACCGCAGTTTCTGCTGCCCTCAACCCGGGCCTGCACCACAGGGAAGAGTTCTTAGGACCTCCTCCAACTCCTACTCCCGGGATATCCGTCCGGAAATGAAGGAAGAGCCCAAGGCCTGGGCTGGGGTTTATTTAAGCTTTTTCCGTTTGGGTTTAGGGAGGGAGAATGCCTTAATGTTGAAGGGAGGGCAGACTTCGCCATAAAGTACGTTTGCTTAGTTCGCCCTGTCTCCTTTCCTGTACTCGGCCTGCGCTGGGAGTGGGGGGTCCCTGGCTGATTGCAAGGGCTACGAGAGACAGGGTTCTTGCAAGCAGCCCGTCTCTGTCGGTACTCAAGGGTCGTCGGCGTTGATGTCTTCAATAAATTAAGTTTTATTTGGGTTGAGCAAAATCACCTCAATAAATTACAAGTTTTCAAAAAAAAAAATCAGGAAAAAGGAAACCCCATGTTTCTACAGCACCTCCCCGCCGCCAACAAGTCCACCCTCTGCTAGGGGGTGGGAGGACCCAAGAGGAAAGGCTGGGCTTCGGGTCACTCAGGCTGCTGATGATCCCAGCGAAAACCAGCCATGGGGATTGGGGCAGTGCAGGTGAGCTAGGGGTGGGCAGCGGACGATCACAGTCGGTCACCGAGGTTAGGAGTGACCCAGCCAGCTGCAAAGTCCTGGAACTGCACCGCGCCGCTCCTTAGCGACCTGTGTGTTAGATAGTGTGTTAGGGACAGGCGTTACTTGATCCCGGTTCCGAAGAAAGCCAAGCTAGCAGGCATGCCGGCTCTCCCGGGGCCGGGTGAAAAGGACTCCTCTCTGCTGGGTGTGAGTGGGAGGATGGGTGGCCCGACTTGGTTTCCAAAGCTGGGGAGGGCACACCTAGGGGGTCGAAACTGTGGGATGTGGGGGCACATAGGGTCTTTGAGGCAGGCGGCCGGGATGGGGAGGTCTGTGTTGGGTCCTGGAGGACCAGGGGTGTCTCTGGGGCAGGCTTAGGGCCTCCGGAGGCCTGCAGCTAGAAGAGATTGGTCTTCAGGGCTGGGCCGGGCTTCCGGTGAAAGGAGGACAGAACTCCGGAGAACGGCCCGGGCCCGGGCTCCGCCGGCTGCCAGGCCTTAAGTAGCTCGGCCGTGCCGGAGCCGGGTCCTCCGCCCCCACCGCCTGCCACGCCTGCCCACAGCGCGCCCTTGAGCGACTGTGGTCCTGGCCCGGGGCCGGGGCCGGAGCCCAGCGCGGCAGGCAACGGGCTGGGGCTCAGGCGGGGGCTGGCCAGGCTGGGTGCGGGCGGCGGCGGCGGCAGCGATGCGGTGCTGTCCGGCGTGGGGCTGCACGTGGACTCCTTGGAGTCGTCGTCCTCAGACGAGCAGCGCGCCTCGCCCTTTTTGGCGCCTGTTGTGCCCGCTGCGCCCTTGGCGCTGGCCGCGCGCTCTTGTTTTCGGAACTTGGCGCGGCGGTTCTGGAACCAGACCTGTGGGCACAGGGGCCAGTCACTCCGGGCAAGGATCGGAGAGCGCCCAAGATCAGCCCGGGGCCGCGAGACGCAGGTGACACTTAGTTCCGGAAAGGGTTGAGCAGCATTATTAGCAGTTGGAGAGGTCCAAGGCCCTGGAGCGTTGCCTCCACCGCCTCATCACTCGCAGCCCATTGTCCTCTCCACTCTCCTCCAGTGGCCCCGTTTTCCAGGCCCTTGGGTTTTTGCCCTTAGAATCTCCTCAACCATGAACTCTCACTGCCTATTCTGGGTCTCCTGGAGGAGACTCTACCTTTACTCTCCTTACCCTAAGACCTGCACCCCAATTCTCTCTGAGGAAGTTAGAGGGATCCAGCTGGAGCATACCAGAATGCTGAAACGAGTGGATTGGGGTACTAGGGAAAGCTTGTGTCCAGGCTTTCCAGTCAAAAGTGACCAGTCACATCCTGAACACAGGATTTGAAAACCCTAGCCCGACTCTCCTGATCTTGCACCAGCCTCCAGCTCTGGCTACGGGGCTCAGGGGTTCACAGCTGTAGCGCTGGGGAGGACATCTGGAAGTGCTAGCTGCGTGCCTCCTCTCCTCCCAGGGCGCCCTCTCTACCCACCTGGCTGCCTAATCCAGGCTTCTCAACTAAAATTTCGAACCTCCAGCTCTAGGATGAAAAGGGGCCTGGAGAGAAGGGGAGAGAACGTATAGCTAAACATCTGGGGTCTGCTGAGTCCAGGTCTTAGCCCCGCAGCCTCCCCTGCATACCCAACCACGCCTGGACCGTGTCCTGGTCACTGGCCCCACCAGGTTGCAGTTTTCCTTGACCTCCAACTGTCACCTCCCGCAGCCCCTTCCACGAGTGCATACACCCACCTGTACCCGAGCCTCAGTGAGGTCGATTTTGAGTGCCAGCTCCTCCCGCGTGTAAATGTCCGGGTAATGGGTCTCGGCAAAGACGCGCTCTAGCTCTTTGAGCTGTGCGCTCGTGAACGTGGTGCGGATGCGCCGCTGCTTGCGCTTCTCGTGTAGGCCTGATGGCTCCGGGAAAAACTTGTAGGGCACTGCAGGTGTGTGCCAGAGGGCAGGGGCAACGAGAGCAGGCGTGAGAATCTGAGCTCAGCCGACTGAGTCGTACCCTACTGGGATCGCTCATCCCCTCCCCGGTCCCTGGCCTGGCCCCTCGGTTTGGTCCTTACGACCTCTAGCCTAGCATCGGAGCCCACAGCGGTGAAAGAGAAGACGAGGGGAGCTCTAGAGCTCAAGAGCGGTGTGAAACCAGGACACCAGCGTGCGATCCTCCAGCATTCAATCCTCACCCCGTCCCTGGCTTTGCACTGAGTTCCCTGTACTCCCCGGACCCCTCTATCCCACCTGCCCCCTCCCACCGTCTCCTCCGCCGGTCCTGTGTCTCTCCCTCAGCCCTCTGCGTGCCTGACTTCAGGTCCTGCTCTGTCCTCACCAGTCCAGGATGGCTGCCAGGTCTCATCTGCAGTAGGAGTCTCTCCACTAGCCAGTCCTGGGCCTTGAGACTCTCCTGACAGGACTCCTTCACCCCTGCCATTGGCTCCCAGCTGTGTTCCTCTGTCCTGCTCCTGGGGTTTATTTCCTCAGTCCTACCTCACATTCCTGGTCCCCATTCCCCTGCAGGTGTCCTCTCCTGTTCCTCATCTTCATCTTTCTTTATTTCTCTTTGGCTTTCCCCATATGGACCACTGTTCTCTTTGTGCCCACTGCAAAGTGTTCTTGTCTTCCACAGTCTTTGCCTTTTTTCCTCCCAGGCATCTACTTTGAGTCCCACAGCCCCTAGCTCTTGTCTCAGCCCTCCCTCCTTCCTTTCCTGTACTCCACTCCACCCCAGTCCCCACAGCCCTATAGGTGGTTTTTTTCCCCCCTCTTTTTTTCTTTTGTTGTCTTTTTTTGAGATCAGGTCTCACTATGCAGTTCAGGCTGGCCTTGAGCTCACTTTGTAGCTCAGGCTGGTCTCGAACTTGCAGCGATCCACCTGCCTCAACCTCCCCAGTGCTGGGATTACAGGTGTGCATCACCACACCCAATTTAGGAGGTGTTTCGACACTACCTCTGTGTCCCTGTCTCTGATTTAGGTTTACAAATATTCCTAGGGGTCCCCATCACCATATTTGTCCCTTCTCTCTAGATCCATCTATCCCCTGATCCTTGTCTTCATCCCTATCTTCATTTTCATTATCTGTTTCCAATCTTTTTTGGTCCCTGTCTCTCATAATTCAGGTCCCGCATCACCTGTTTCTTATCTCCATCCCCCAGGTCTGGGTCTTCATTTCTTTCAGGATCCTGTCTTTCTATTTCTTATTTCTATATCTTACCCCAACTGCTCCAGACTCAGAGCCCCATCTCTCTGAAGAGCCCCAACTCCTCATTTCCTGTCCCCATCTTTCCAGTCCTTACCATCATGTGGCTACACCCCCATGGTTCTCATTCCCCAAATCCAGGCGCTTACCCCCAACCCCTACTTGTCTTCTACTTGGGACTTTCATGGTCTTCCCAGGAGGGGAGGAGATAAGAAGACTGGGTGGGGCAGCTTGGGACCCTAACTGAAGAGATGGAGATGTTTGTGAGGCTCAGTGAGATTGAAGGTTCCCACAAGGGCTTGGACTAAAGGGCTTCTTAGTTAAGATGTAGGCGCTGCCTTCTGAGTTCTATAGGACTCTATATCTGGAAGAATCGGGAGGGGCGGGTGAAAGCGGTCCCCTTTTCTGTGGCAATGGGAGCTGATTTTGCTGGTGCTATAGGGTTTGGACTCAAGCAGGATGGGTCCAAGACAGGATAGGAGGGGCCTGATGGTGCCAGGGTCTAGGAAGGTTCCAGTCTGGAAGCACAGCTGCTGCAGGAGTCCTTTCTGGGGTCGTGTAGCACGTGGGGCAGGGGTGAGATGGATGAAGGTCTGAATGGACTGAGCTGGGAGCCTCTTCCAAGGATACAGGCGATGGAGACATGGTTAGTCTTTGCAGGTGAGGAGGGAGGGCCTGGTGAGGGGCCAGGGCTGAACCCACGATTTATTTCCTTGGCTCAAAGGGCGCAGGATGGAGACTGGCAGTGAGAACGAGGGACAGGAGGTATAGGAGGGTGGGGCTCATCCCCGCTGCCGAGAGGACTCTGGTATTGCTGGGGGTCTCACAGGGCGCCAGCGGGTCTGGCCAGGACAGGGATGGGGTGGCTGTGGGGAAGTCGCATTCACTTGACGAGTAGGGAAGGGACCTGGGGATCTGCAGGATTGAGAGGGAGGACTGGGCTGGGGCTGCGCTCACCTGCCGAGTAGGGCGCGGGCTGGTGGTCGCGCAGGGCGCCAAGCGCGCAGTTGGAGGAGCCGAGCGCAGGGCACGGCGGCCCCGCCGCGGGGAAGGTAGGCCGCAAGGGGCTGTACTGGAAGCCGCCAGGCTGGCTGCAGGCGCCGAAGTCGCCGTAGGCGGACGCCTCCATGGCCGCCACGCACGAGTCGTACGAATTGAGGTAGGAGTAGTCCATCGGATCGGGGGGCGGGGGCCGGACCAGGTCCGGGTCGGGGTCCCGGCCGGGTGGAGGTCGGGATGGAGGTTCCGGCGCCAAGCGCCGAGGACCCGAGGCCGGCTCTGAGCGCCCGAGTCTGCCCGCCCCGTCGCGGCTGCACTGTGCCCGGGTGCAAAGCAAGTGCAGCCCGGAGAGCCCGCGCGCCTTTTAACGCGCAGGACCCCGCGGAGGGGGCGGGGCGGGGCGAGCTCCGCGGGGCGGGGCCTGGGCGGCGCAGACCCCGCCCCCGGCTACCCCGACCCCCGCCCCGAGGGTCCCCGTCGCGCCGTCGGGCTCCCGGGGCCGGGCGGGGCCGCCGGGACCCGAGCCCCCGAGTCCCCGTCCTGCCCGACTGCGGCCCAGACCTCCGCGGTCCGCACCTCGGGCCACGCGGGAGGTCCCGGCCCCTTGCTGGCCCTCCCCGCCTGCGGCCCGAGCCGAGAGGGGCGGCCCCGCGGCGCTGCTGTGCAGAAGTTAATTCGATTCTCCGGGGTAACCGAGTTATGCGCCCCTCGGCCCGCCCCCGGCGAGGTCCGGTCCGTTGGGGGCCGGAGACTGATCTGGAGGGGGATGGAGACGGGACAGACGGGGGCAGGGAGGAAGTGGGTGCCGGGAGGAGGCGCGGAGGAGGCAGGGCCAGAAGAGGAGGCCGCCGTGCTGAAGCCGGGACGGGAAAGACCAGGTACACCGAGGGAGACGAGGACGAAGGATTGCGGGGGAAGGCTGGGTGGACGTGGGGACCAGGCAGGGACAGAGCGGCAGAGGGGGCCGGAGCAGGAGTGCGAGGCAGGCAGGAGATGGACGCGGGGGGACGAGGCTGGACGGCGGCAAGGGCCGCGATGCGGAGCGGGGACAGAGGACACAAAACCCGGGCAGCCGGGCCGGACAGACACACGCAGGGGGCGGGCTCGGCGACAAGGCCGGGGACAGACCGCGGAGGAGCAGCGGCGGAGGGCGGAGGGAACAAGCCCGCGGGGAGCTGCCACCCGCGTGCCGGCTGAGCGCGGAGGGCCGAGGCGGGCGGCCCCACGGGCTCCGAGGGGGCAGGCTGAGGCCGAGGTCTCTGCATCTTGGCTTGTCCCGACGGCCACCCAAGCCTACACCTTCAGAGACCCCATCTTGTCCCCCCTGCCTCTGCTTTCCCGCTGCTCCCCCGCCGTGCTTTGACCTCTGACCCAGGCTCTGCGTGTGCGTGTGCCTGTGCGTGTGCGTGTGTGTGTGTGTGTGTGTGTGTGTGTGTGTATCTGGAAATCCCTTTCCTCTTCTTCAGCCGCTACCCTTCTCCTCCTGAGCCCCTTTTCTTCTCCACGAAGACCAGGCAGGCCCAGTCTGCTGCTGGCTGCAGAGGTCCTTCCCTGCATAGCTAGCTCTCCATGTTGTAGCATAACAGAACACATAAAATCTTTCCTGAGAAAACGAACAGAAACCCCTTCTACTCTGCCGCTCATCTGCAGGGTCCCCACCCTTCTTTCCTAGGCTAGAATATTCCAGGGTCCTGCAGATGGGGAGCTGGAGCATCCAGGAGCAGAGCAGGTCCTGTCATCAGCCAAAGTCCTCAGGGATTGAGAAAAGGACTCCTGGAATTCCTCTCCCTGACTTGACCACACCGTGGGGCACAAGTCCCTTCTCAGGTCTTCTCTTCCCCTGGCCACACCTTTGCTTGGCACACGACTATCTGCTATTAGTTTCTGTAAGTACTCCGTGTCAGGGGATTTCTTTGAGATGTTTACCCAAATTATTTCCTTAACCTTTTTTGTTGTGTGGTAGTAAAATACACATAAAATTATGTGGGCATGGTGAGGCACACCCGTAATCCCAGCATTGTGGGAGGCATAGGCAGGAGAATCACACATTTTAGCCAAGTCTGGGCAACTTAGACTCTGTTTCAAAGTAAAAAATGAGGGGCTGGGGATTTAGCTCAGTGGCCTAAGCGCCTGCCTTGTAAGCAGGCAGTCGTGACTTTGATCCCTGGTACCGGTAAAAGACAAAAAAAAAAAAAAGTAAAAAATGAAAATAAAAAAGGGCTGGGCCTGTAGCTCAATGTGAAGGCCCTGAGTTCAATTCCCAATACCACAAAAAACCCCATAACATTTATCATGGTAAGCACTTTTAATTGTGTGGCTCAATGTTGTTAAATATATTCATCATGTTTTGCAATTAGCAAATACCTCTTTTCATCTTGTAAAACCCAAACTCTGTACTCATTTAGCAATAACTTTCCCTTCCCACCCAGCTCCCACCTCTAGCAACTACCAGTCTACTTCCCATATCTATATATTTGACTATGCTGAATATTTCATATCAGTGGATTGCATGTTACTGTTGTCTCAGAAACCATCACCCTGCTGGGTCATTTCTATGGTGGGGTCATCAAGTCAATTTTTTTTGGTACTGAGGATTGGTCTCACAATCTTGTGCTTGCCAGGCAGGTACTTATGCTACTGAGCCGTATCTCTGGCCTCACTGAGTCAGTTTTTGTGACTGGTTTATGTCTCCATGTGTGAAGTCCTCAGGTTTGGTCCAATTTGTAGTATATCTCAGAAGGTCTTTCCTTTTTTTTTTTTTTTTTTTTTTTTTTATTGGTACCAGGGATCAAACTCATGACCGCCTGCTCGCAAGGCAGGTTCTTATGCTGCCCCAGCCCCAGAATGTCTTTCCTTTTAAAGGCTGACTAATATTCTCTGGTATGTATGTATCCCCTTTCCCTGTCCATTCTTCCACCGAGAGATGCTTATGTTGCTTCTGTGTTTTATCTACTGTGAATAACACTGCTATGAATGTGGGTACACAAGGATCTCCTAGGAACTCTGCTTTCAGTTCCTTTGGGAATTTATTCAGAGGTAGAATTGCTGCATTGTATCATAATTCTACAGTATTTTTATTATTTGAGGAACTGCTATATTATTTCTTATAGTGGCTATGCCATTTTATATTCCTCCAGCAATGTACAAGGTTTCCAGTTTTCTATTTCCCTGACAACACTTGTTATTTCCTATGTTTTTCAAATTATTTTTCAGGTCTAAACTTGTAGGGGTTGAGACCTGACAGCTCAAAAGCTTCAACCGTTCTTCCCACTGGTTGTGTGAGGTGCATCTCTCTCCTTGTACACATGTGCAGGGAGCCCAAAGGATATCAGCAGTGGGGTATAACACAGGACCACCATTATCGCAGACCCTTCAGATCCAAGCTCCTATGCTGGTCTGTAGTGTAATCAGCAACACAGCTCCAGCCTGCTTTCTCCTCACCTTAGCTTTTCTTTCTTTCTTTCTTTTTGAGTCAGGGTCTCAATAAGTGGCCCAGGCTGGCCTCCAACTCTCAATCCTCCTGCCTCAGCTTCTCAAGTGCTGAGATTACATACATGCACAACAGCCACCATTCCTGGCATCAATTTGACTTTCTTTGCAGCCCTAATACACTCACTGATCTTTTTGTTCAGAGATGTTCTCTCTGGGTGGAATGCACACCCCATTATCTGTGTTCTACCCCCTCCCCCTGAATGCCCAAACATGGTATTATTTAGCTATTGTTTTAACTTGGACCTGCTTTTTGGAAGCCTTTTCTGATGTTCCTAGAGGAGTCCAGTGACCCTGCTGTGTTCCCTAGTACCTCCCTTTCTTTTGATACTCAGGTTACCCTGGTAAGTGCAAGGTCTTCTTACAGAAGCACTTTCTCCCTGTTGTCACTTTCTCTCACCATGTGGCGCATCCTAGACTGTTGGTATCTATTTTTCAGATGAGGCAACTAGTAGACTAACCTGAAATCTCTGCGCTGGAGAATCCTGCCCTTGCTTCCAAGGAAGGATTCCTTAACCCGGACTCCCATCCCCATTCTCTGAAGAGGAATAATCCTCCCCAACAGGAAACTTCCTCTTGGGCTGCTGCTCATCAGCTGGAAGGGAGTCCTCCTTTATCTGAGGAATTTGCACGTGACCTTATCCTTTCCCCAGTGACAATGCTGACCAGCAGTGGGAGCACTTGAAACTTTCATAAAGGGACAAGCAAGGGGAGGAAGGGAGGAAAAGAGGCCCATTACTGCTTCAGGCCTGATTCCCGCTGTCTCAGCATCTGGCTATGTCATTCCTACAGTTTGGTCCTTGAGCTAGTAAATCCCTTCCATCTAAGCTGCTTTCAGCTGATCTTCTAACACTTGCAATCAAGAGTCCTGAACAGCACAATCTCTGAAGGCTTGACATCCTTACAGGAAATCAAATAGTGGTGCTTAGAAGTTTTATTGTAAAATGCATGTGACAGCATGACAGAGTAGGCTGGGCAGGAGCTGGCTTTCCACGCCTCAGGACTGTGACTGTCTTCACATTCTTCTCTATGTTTAATCTAGTTCAAGTTGGATTTCTGTCTGTCAGTTCCCAACAAAGGAATCCACATAAACAATTGGGATAAAGTATGCAATGATGCAGGCAGCCATTTGCACCTCCCTGTTGGCACAGGAGATGAGAAGCAGCCCAAGAAAGGAGTAGGAGGCATCAAAGTGGCTTCCTGAGAACTCACCAGAAGAAAAGAAGAGGAGCAGAGTGGCGCAGACTCAGCAAGGACGTCACACGAGAGAGGCTGGTCGAGGGTCTGGTGCGAGGTGCCTTCCCCTGAATGAACGTACTCCAATGCTTTGGCGTGAAACACAGCTATCTTGCTCAGGAGCCTCCTGGCTGCACATGATGTTTTCACTTCCAGGAGCTATGACGGGCTGTGGAGCCTCACTGCTGGGTACAGCACTGGTCCTGCCACTGCTGAGCTGCATGACGTAGGGTGCATTACTCAGCTTCTCTGTACTTTAGTTTTCTCATCTGAAAACAGACTATTTAAATCATTAGAGAAATTAAAACCTATGATGTATGAATTAAAGCCTGGTATATAGCAAACATTAAGTAAAGTAGCTTTTACCTTTGCCACCCCTACCTCCTCTCATTCTTACCAAGTGACTAGGCATGGCAGAGCTGACAGATCCAGACCAGATCTGGCCAGATTGTGTTGCACCTGACCCTTGGATATGTCCTACAGATGCAATCTATCAGTGGAGCAAAGATTCAGAAGCTCCCTAAAATTCACCAAATCCAGTCATTTTTGTAGATGAAGAATCTGAGGCCCGGGGAGGGCTCCTGTAGGAAGAATACAGGTAGAAACAGGGAAAAGCTTGC